ATTTAAATCGTTTATTAATTATTATTTTTTTTATGTTTGTAATTATTTAATTTTGTTATGATAACGAGTCAACGAGAAGAATTTTTTATGAGTGATCTAATGTAAAAATTAGTTTGTAGGGGGTGTGGGGGAAATGCCCCCACGGGTCTGTTTGTCATCAAATATTTGAGCCCCCCTTAATATTTCACAAGATCTCCGCCTATGGGAGACGGTATGTCAGTCTAGGATATTTTATATTGTTAATACTTATTATTAATATGGTAGCCGGTAAGCTGAATTAATATTATTCTTAAAATATTAGTGATGCTGGAAATATATTAAATATACTTATTTAAAATTGGGCTGTTCTGGAAAAAAATGATAAACGTTATTCATTGTGTTAATATGCAATTTTGTCCAACTTTGATCTTAAAATGTCTGTAAAAAATAACTGTATTCGTATATTTTTTAGATTTTTTAGGTAGGTACTGAAAAAACTGCTTAATTCGAACCTTGTTTTAAATTGTCAATGCTTAGCTATAAAAATTGAAAATTTTATAAATTTTTAACTACAAAATCATTTTCAATTTGATAACTATTGTCAACATTTGAACTTTAAATCCTTATCAAAAAAACCGTCCCTATACATATTTTAAATATTTTTCAACTGCTTTTGTAACAATAATATATTAAGAGTCTTGTACTAAATTTGCATGCTTTTTGACTTTTTGATCCAACCAATAAAATTTTTTTGACATTTATGGGGAAAAAATGAAAATTGAAAACGTCCGTCAACAGCTTAAACCGAGAAAAAATGTTTTTGAAAATTGTATCAAGTGTATGGAATCGATGAAATAAACATATGGTGTAAATTTTATTTCAATTGTCTACAGTAATTTTATTTTGAATTACAATAAAATAAGAAAATCGCTACAAGAGAAATCGAGTGATAAATTACGCTGTAAAAATTTCAACTGCAAATACTCATAAAAATTTAATTTGACTTCCGGTAAACAGACTTATAAGGAATTTTGTATTAAATTTTTAAATATTAGAACTAAAGAGAAAAATGTTTATGAATTTCTAACTAAATATAATTTGTTAATTTTCGTAATTTTTACGAATGTCGTTAAAATTCTAAGTTTAAACGCTCATAAAAAATTATTTTGGACCCTCAACTTTTTTTTAAATTTACATTAACAAAAACTTACGTGGAACATCGAACATTTACAAGTTTTTTGACAGAGTGAAAATTTTTTGTACCGATTATAGTTTAAAATAAAAAAAAAATAATCGAAAATATGTCTACAAATAGTTCAACACAAGTCAAAAATGTTATGGCGTTTTAAATGTTAACACAAATATTCAATGAAAATTGCATATAGGTACCTACCGTCATTTTTGTTAGAGTTACACTAACAACCAAATCGATTTTTTCGAAAACTGGTTTTGCTTAAAAATTCCTGTTTTCATTAATTTTTTGTTTGTTTTTCCTATTGCTTTTGAAAACTATTGGGAATTTCAAATTTTGACCCCCCGAATGCACCAACTAGATTCACTTTCCTCCTATAGAAAAGTTTCTGTTGAAGAAATCAAAGCACTTTTACTGTCAAAAACCATGATAACAGACACACAAAAAAAATAACTATAAAAACACACATCATTGTAAAATCAATACATTTATCGCTCCACTCAGAATCTAAAATGGGTTTAGTACTGCCTATATGCCTATATAGCAGTAATGAAAAGCGACGTTTGAAGGATGGTCTTTTTGAAAAATAATAAAATCGACTGTCTATCAAAGTGTTAAATGTATAAATGTGTGTGACCTCCCCCCCACGAGTCTGTTCCATTTGAATATGAAAATCCCCTCCAAGTCAAAAACTGAAATTGCGCCTATAGACTTAGGTTATATGGATCACCCGGCAAATTAATTGTGTAGACTGTAGGTACGAAACACAGAAATACAGAATATTGTAAACTAACGAATGTGTTAATTCTAAATTAATTAAACCATTACTCAAGAAATTTCCAATTTCCTTTTAAATTAGCAATACGATTCATCGTATTTGGCTTAGCAGCTAGGGTCAATATGCCCTCGATTATTTAGAATAATCCTCTTAAAATAGTCTTATTTGGGTACTTCTGCCAGTACGTCGTCCAGAAAATTGGTGAACAGTTTTTGAATATATCTGACTAGGTGTCGCTTGTAATGGTTTATCTTTTACAATTAATAAACGTTTCAATTTAGATATACTTATTAAATTTTAATTTCCCTCACGCACGTGATCAAGATTTAAAGTTTAAAACATAGGATTTTGTATGTTTAAACACGTTTTCAAAATACATAGATAGGTACTTAACTCAATTTTAAGCAACGTCAACAAATACCTACGTTACAAGCCTTTTTTTATAATGTTATGCATATGGCCATTATAATACCTGTGCCAAAAGTTTAACCACTGTTCATAGATTTTTCCCCTCAATTCTCAAAACAGTCATAACTCATAGGCCCCGCTTAGTTGTGTAAAAACGGTTTAACTTTTATTTTCTGCAATTATTACGTAGAAAAAACACCCTCAGGCTGAGGATGTCGCGAAAGTGTTAAAAACCAGTCTATGGAATGGCTATTGGCTGTGCAAGGTATATTTTTACTGTTGCACTAACGACAGACCGCTCGCAGCTGTTTACTGCGACCCGAGTACAACTGAGTAGGTACCTATACATTTTCTATTTAGTCTGTTCTG